TTCTTCCTGCTCTGCTTCATCTGTGCCATCTCCAAGGCAGCACAGAAAGCTTTTCCTGGTGGATCTTTCAGGTATGGCTGTGCCCATAAGGACAATCATCGTGAGCACAGGGCCACCTGAAGGAGCTTGTTAGCTCCCACAGCTCACTGCTAAACCATACGTGCAAATCACCTCTCTGCTTGAAGGAATATCTTGCCATCGCTTCCACTGCCATCACGACGGCCTCACACCCCACCCTGCCGGAGCTGAGCTGCTCCCCAGCTCTCCTGGGGCCACCAGACCACTTTGCAGAGCAGTGAATCATACAGGCATGTGCTGATTCCCTTATTATGCCTTCCCATGCTTATGTCTAACACCTCCTCCTGGGATGGCAGGGAGCGCTCAGCTGTGCTAATGAGAAGGTATCACAGCTCAGCAAGTGCCTGACTTGCTAAGGCAAACAAGATATTGGCTGGAACTAATGCAGAAAAAAGATGTCCCTGGTGTTGTGCTTTCCCTCTTTCTGCTTTTTTTTCTCCCAGCCAAACTGGCTGTACTCTGGGTTTTGGATTCCTTCAGCTGCATAGAAGGGCACATGATTTACTGCAAGCGAGGAGCTCACAGAGGAAAAAAGGCCGTGAGATTATTTTGTATCTGACACAATCATTAGTAGTATTATTTCTTCTGGAGCTGAGAAGGACACTTACAAAACATCTAACAGGCTGCTAAGGAGGTTGCCTAAAGCACTGATTTTTAAAATCTGCTGCTTGTGCCTTTTCTTTTGTGCTCTGTACGTATTTTAAGCTTCAGTTTCTTTACATGAGAGGGACTTCAAATGAAGTATCTGAAAGGTGTTTCTGACAGTTCAGTGGGTGTTCTCTTCAAATATTGGGCCCAAGTTACCTGCTGGAGCTGTGACACAAACCAGCACAATACATGTGCTTCATATGTCCAGACCTCCTGCTTTACATCAGAGAAGAGCAATAACCCCCTCTGTGCACACAGGTCCTCCAGATCTATTTCCAATATTGAAACCAAGCACAATTAGATGAGTGATAGTCTCCAAGCTGAGGATGCTGCTAAAGGGTTGGTGTAACCCCATTGCCTGCCTCAGCCTGAAACTGCACTGAGTCCCAGCCTGCCTGACAATCCCAGTCCAGTTACAAGGGATGGTGGTGGAAGGCAGCTGATGGCACTCCCTCAGGGCCAGGCTGTCATCTCCTGCAGCTCACACAGGTTCCAGCAGGAGGAGTGAGATTTGATGGGCAGAAGAGTTCAGCCTGTCCTCCTGACAGCTCTGCTCAAGTGCTTGAATTGAGCATCAGCAGAAGCACATCACAGACACAGCATGGCTCTTCCTCCTGGAGGGAAGCAAAGCCAGGGGCTTGGAAACTGGTGCTGGCTGGCTGGATTCATTTGTAATCAGTGCAAATGCTATTGGTCACTTCAAAAGTAATGCCCCCTATTTATTTCTATGGATATTATAACAGATACAAAGATAACAGAACAAATTCTCAAGCCTGCATGCTGTGCTCATAAAAATCTGCACCTGTGGAGATGACCCACTGTCCCTGTCACCACTGCTGAAACACATACAGACAAACCTATTCTACTTCTTTGCCCAGTGTGGTTTAGATGAGTACAACCAGGAAAAGGAAAAAATAAAAACAACAACAGATTTCTGCCTTGACCATCAGGGCCAAGCAGCAAAAAGTTCTCCAGTTCACCACTGTCAGCTCTCCAAGTTGCTCAGCATTCATTCTGCTGCCTGTGAGCAAAAGGTATAGCCAATGCCCATCCTGCCAGCTTCCTCTCGTCCCCCTCTGATTTCTGACTGCTCATCTTTTGTACAGACACAGGTGCACTGCAGCTTTGGCCAAGGCAGCGGGGGGCAGTTATCACCATAACTACCCAGCTGCTGGAACCAGGCTGCACAGCAATTATGCTAAACTCTGCAGCACACAGGCAGCTATCACCCTCACTACATCTTCCTGAAAAAGAAAGCCTCAGCCAATACTGCATAGGATTTGAGCAGCAGTTTCCAGGCAGAGAGACTCTGTTCACCCTGTGACACAGAGCATGAGGACATGCCTTTTAGTCTTACCACCAGCAGACATGTAACATGAAATTGCTTGCTGCTTTCTGCCTCTGTAGGAGTGTGTTTATAAGGGGCTTAGCAAAACAGCTAGTTTTCTGGTTGAGCTAAATAGTAAAGAGAGGGTATAAACGGGGACAGGAGCAGTTTCTTGGAAGTCAGTGTGGTTTTGAAGGTTCTTCTGCAGGAATTCTGGGACTGAGTTGAGTTGATGCACCTGCCCCTCTGTAATCAGTGCTTCAATCCTTCAACAGAAGCCAAAGGGAGTTCAAATGCTTGACTTTCTATTGCCCGGCAGCTCAAGCTCAGCATAGGTACAGAAACATTAATGCTGTTTTTTTTTTGCTACAGGATCCATCCTTCACATCTCTGTGCATTGATGGGCATGGGACAGCAGGAGCTTCCCTCTTCCACAGGCAGCCTGGGGCCCTCTGAAGGCTCCTGGTGGGCTCATCTTCTGGGGAACAGCTGGAAGCAGAGGCAGCATCAATTTTTTGCACAATCTTTGGATGCCTCAACCCTAGAGGTGTTCAAGGCCAGGCTGATGGAGCACTGGGCAACATGATCTGGTGCCTGATTTAGTGGCTGGTAACCCTATCCACAGCATAGAATCATAGAATCATAGAATGGCCTGGGTTGAAAAGGACCACAATGCTCATCTAGTTTCAACCCCCTACTATGTGCAGGTCGCCAACCACCAGACCAGGCTGCCCAGAGAGCAGTGGGGCTGGAGCTAGATGATCTCTGAGGCCCCTTCTAACCCAAGCCATTCTACGATTCCACAACTGTATGATTTTGAAGGGTTCAAAATGCAGTTTCTCCTATGAACATCCTCAGAAATCCCACTCCAGGCAGACAAGGCCGCATGAACAGCTCAAGACATCAAAGGCCTTTCTGTTCTTACAGGGGGAATAAGCTTCATTATGAGTCTGATCATCCTAAGCCTGAAAGTCAGTTCTGTCAAGTGCAAGACCTACTCAACTGATTTGTCAGCTCAGCACCATAAAACCCAGCCTGTGCTCTCCTGTTGGTATAAAGCCACTGCTGCACACACGGTGTCTGTGGCTGAGGACGTGAGGAGGGGGGTGGTGGGAGCCCTGCAAGTCCTTGTGCAGGCAGATGATAACATTTACGACACCGTTGTCTCAGCCCAAAACAGAGAGTGAAAAATAGGCTGCAAGGCAAACGGCACAAACACTGCTCCTTCTTCAATGAAGCTTTTCCTTTTTCTAACACTGAGTTTGCCATTAACTTGAGAAACTACAGTTACAGTGCCTTGTACTTAGTGTAAAATTAGGATCTATGGTACCTAGGGTCCATCATCACAGCAGTTAATTTCTAATAATCTTCACCACCCAGAGATGTAAGGAGATGTGTAGGTAAGTGATTTAGAGACACATGCAGCCAGAGCTACAGAGGGCAGTGGCACCTCTGGCAGGGTTAGATGAAAGTGAAAAAATCCTTAAAAGACCTCAAGTCTTACAGCTCATCAATGGTAATATCTGTAAGTCCTGCTTTGCTCCTGTTGAAAGTAGCCATGGCTTGTAGCCTGCAGCACACGGCAACTGTGTGCAGCCACACTGTGCTGGGCTGCTTTGCTCCAGTGGTGTACAAGGGTAGAAACTTCAAAACAGTGAATATGACTGCAGGGACCTTTCTCACAGCATCCAGATCACTGAGGTTGGCTCCCAGCACCAGGACTGGCTCCTGCAGGGAACACAGAGCAAACATGAAGGCTGTAAAGCCCTGGCTGTGGCTCTAGAGGAACTCCTGAGCTTTGTCCTCCATTATGCACATGGGAACAGGGATTGTGAGGGCTGCTGAGGGGCCCAGGCTGCCTTGAGACATCTGCTCTGCTGTGGGCATGGGGAACAGAGAGCTCCCTGCATGAAGGAATGGGCTCTGTAGCTTCTGTGCCATGCTGATGGATGCTGGATGGGAGTAAGCTCATGAATACTGGGAAGGAGGAAGGTAATTTTCTTCAAACTGTGTGTGTGGGGGGGGTGCCAGCCCTGCCTGCTCTGTCACCAGATCCATGCTCCTCTGGTAGCTAGCAGGACAGCTGCTCCACATTAATGCCACACTGGTGCCACCTACTCAGAGCTGTTTTGGTGGTGACAGGGACAATGTGAGGAGCTGAGGTGCTGGATGCGGGCTGTAACACAAATGCCTTACAAGTTCTCCTCAAGCAACACAAAATCACATCAGCTCTGATCCTGTGGATGATGTTAAACTGGGAAGAGCAGTTGACTCTTTTGGAGGTAGAGAGGCCTTGCAAAAAGATCTTGACAAATTAGAGGGCAATCACCAACTGCATGAAATTTCAGAAGCACAGATTGGGGGATGAGGGGCTGGAGAGCAAACCCATGGAAGGGGACCTGGGGATTCTGGTTGAGGACAAGGTGAACCTGAGCCAGGAGTGTGCCCTGGCAGCCAGCAAGGCCATCTGCACCCTGGGACCATGGAACAGGCTGCCCAGGGCAGCGGGCACAGCCCTGAGCTGCTGAAGCTGAAGGACTGTTGGAACAGTGCTCTCAGATGTAAGGTTTGGGTGATGCTGTGTGGAATTGGACTCAATGATTTCTGTGGGTTCCTGCCAACACAGGATAATCGATTTTCTATCATTCTACAAAGAGAAATTAACATTTCCTGTCCGTGCCTGTGAACTCATGCAAGATCTCAAAGTTTGCAGAGGTTCTGCCAGTGTTGCTTCTCTTCCTTTGCAAGAGCCTCTGAAAAGAGTTTGCAGAGTGCAAGGTGTATCTGCCTGATTACAGAGTAATTAACGAGCCACAGCAGGATCCACCACTGCCCCTTTCCACCTCTCATAGGCAAGGGGCTGGGTCCTTTCTGCTGCCTGCCAGTCACTCAGGGTCCCTCCCCAGACTTCTCTGGTATAAAAAGGCAGGAAGCTGTGATAGCAGTATGGTGTGCTGTGTGATTCCTTTGTGCTGGATATCTGCTTGTCTTCAACAAAGGAGAAAAGGTACTGTCCTCTCTAGAAGGGGAAGCAAGGCAATGATTGCTTTGTGAGGGCTTGGTTTGTAATAGAAATTTATTGTATATCATTTTATCACAGAGTGAAAATAGTGTTTTTTGTTTTTTGTATATGTGTGATCCTGGTGAAAGGTCAGTGCTTTTTTTTTAAGTGAAAAGCTAGGTAGGACTGGGGTGTAGTGATGGCAACAACATAGAACTATGAGTGTTTTCCCTCTAATTCTACTGTTACTATCTCCTCTCATACCAGAGCTTTTCTTAGCCTTGGTGAAGAGGAAGGAGGCACCAGGTATCTCTTACAAATGTAGTGCTTGCTATCAATGTCACTTCTCTGACAAAAGGAGAAGACTCTAGAGACCTAGAGTGAGAAAAGACTGTCCTTATTTCCTGGATGTAAAGAAGGTGAAACCTGAATACTGGGTGGCTTGTGAGCTCTTCAGATCACTCTCCCTTGTAAATAGAAGGGACCCATTTAAGGATCTGACCTTAATTTCTTAATGGGAGTTAAAGAATATCTTCTAGTCACATCAGAAGGGTGTATCCTCCAAGAAAGGGATGCTCTCCAGCTGCTTGGTCTTGTTTCTAAACCATTGCACTGCTTGCACTGCAGCTACAATGGCCTCTGCTATGGCTGACAAAGAAGAAACTGCCAAGACCTCCGCAGAGGTGAAGGCAGAGGAGCAGCAGGTGGGTGCTGTGTGTAAGATGTAGTGGATTGCACCTCTGGAGTGCAGGTATGAGGAGGATGACCTCTCTGAGGCTAAGGCTGTGCAGAGGGAGGAATGTCTTCTCTCAGGCCCTGCCCTGCAGCTTCTCTGGAAGTAGAGGTGATGGCACAGGGAGGCCTAAGGGGCCAGTGGGGAACCTTTTAGTTAGCTAAGTGGAGCAACCTTGTTCTTGGTTAGGAGGGAGATAGGCCTACAGCTACAGGTTTAGAGCTGACTTGCTGTGGGCAAAAAGCTCTGAGGAAAGGCTCCCATGTTTCCGCAGCTCTGAAGCCTGTGTTTCTTCCAGATCAGTGTCAGCCAGCCTTCTGCAGGGGTACTGTCTTGTTCACTTCATACAGATATTTAACAGGAGGTGGATATGTATCTGACAGTGAGGTTTTCTACAAAAACAGCTTGCTTGAGTAGCAGTGCACTGGAGGAAGACATCTCTAGGATGGGCCCACCGTGTCAGTGCTCCACAGATGTTTTTAACTTGCCTGCAGTCTTCAAAGTAAGTCCAAGCGAAGCAAGCCTTGGTTTCACAGCTAGGTGTTTCAAACAGGCATCTGGAAAGAAGCTTTGTCACTACACTGAAAGCTCAGTGCTGTGTTTTCATGCTTAATAGCCTTTTTTTCCCCCCCATTTAGGATATAGTAAATCAGTTAGCTAACTTGGCACTGATCAGCTCTGCCTGTGACATGGTTTATACAGTTTATGCCTCCACGAAAGAGAGCCACCCCTACATCAGAACAGTGTGTGATGCAGCAGAGAAAGGAGTGAAGAGCATGACTGAAGCCACAACCAGCTGTGTGCAGCCAGTACTGGTTACTATGGAGCCACAAGGTAACTCCCTGTGGAAGGGGTGGTCTGCATGTCCCTCTGAAGGGCTTCCTGGGGCCTCCTTCCTGAGCTGAAGGGATCTAGAGTGTGGAAATGCACAGTTACTGCACTAAAATAACCACTCCTTGTGCATGAGGCCAAAAAACTGAGTCCTAATCCAAGTAATGTGACAAAGGGATGCTCCGTGAAGGACTGGGATTGACTTTGTTGATGTTGGTTACTTGAAGACTGATCTTGCTAGGTCCAGGGTCTTTAGTGATAACTGCTCATAGTTTAATTCTTGCCAGTTAATAATTGCTGAAGGAAAAAACCTCCTCTTGGGCTGCCACATCTACTGGCCTTGTTTGCTATGATCCTTAATTACATGGATTGTTGTCTTCCCTGAAGAAGCTCTAATCCCCTGCAAGGAAAAGGGGTTAATTACTGATGAGAAGTGTCTAGTGGAAGTCTGTGTGACTGGCCTAGGTTCAGTCAGAGTCCAGAGTAGGCATCTCTCTTTTTGGTAGCTACTTGATCCTGGATCCTCATTATATGGATGTTTAGGCAGAAAGGGTGGCTATACAACTATTTCATCAAGAACTCAAGAAACTTGGGGAGGGGTGAGAAAGCACCATGTAGATGGCTATGTCTATGTTAAAGCTTGCTGCAATCAAAGTGAACAGGGTGATGAAGGCAAACTGCCCTATGAATTTGGCTTGCAGCAGAGCACACCTTGCCTGGATGGAGACCTTCACCTGGGCTCCCTGCAGAACAACATGCTTGATCTCACAAATCTTATATTCCTGAGTGTTAAGAAAAACAAGCTTGATTATTTTTTTTTTTCTTAACAGTGGCTGCAGCAAATGAGTGTGCCTCTAAGGGTTTGGATAAACTAGGAGAGAAGCTTCCGCTTCTTCAAAAGCCAGTGGATCAGGTGAGAAATGAAGGCTGCCCTGTTCCTTGCAGGGTTTCTAACCTTGGGAGTAAGGTAGGCTCTCAAGAGGAATCAAATGCCCCTAGAGGAACAGTGTAAGCTCTTACTAGAGCAGGTAATACACAGATGCTGTGCAGAGTACTTTCAGTGCATTATATGACCTGCTCTCCTACCTGACATCTCTCTTCTACAGGTTATCTCTGAAACAAAAGAGCTGGTGTCATCCACAGTGGCTGATGCAAAGGATATTGTGAGCAGCAGAATGGCTGGTGTGGTAGATGCAACAATGGAGGCCCTTCACAGTGGTGTGGAGGCTGCCAGATCTGCAGTGACCAGCAGCGTGGGGATGGTTAAGGACTTTAGAGTGGGCCAGATAGCTGTAAGCAGAGCAGAAGCTGTGCTGGAGAGAACAGGAGATGACAACTCTCTCCCCATGGGAAATGAAGAACTAGGTCAGTATCTATGTCTGTAATGGGATCATAAAATGAGGGACAGTTGGCCCCGTTCCTTGATCTACTGGTATGGACTGGGGCTAGTGGGAAGTACCATGTGGGAGTCCACCTGGCTCCTGACAAATCTTGGCTCTGCTTGGTAAGAACCATTGGTTTACTGTCTCTTTCCTCAGCCAAACTTGCAGCATCTGGGGAGGGTGCAGATATGTCTGTGGAGCTGCAGCAGCAGAAGAGGAGGTATTTTGTGCGGTTGGGGTCTCTCTCTGATGAACTTCTCCAGTTTGCCTACCTGCACTCGAAGGATAAAATTAAGCAGATCTGGCAGGGCTTGCGGGAGGCCCTTGGACAGCTTCACAGCATCATTGAGCTGGTAGGTAGAGCTTGGTGTTTCCTGCTGGAGGGCAGGAGTTAACCAAAAGTTTGGCTTGACCTTATCTTCATTGCTTTGATAAGCACCTGTGGTGACCTGTCTTGGCACCTTTCCCTACCTCCCTCAGATTGAGGTGTTCAAGCAAGGATTTAATCAAAAGCTTCAGGAGGAGTTGCAAGCGCAATTGTGCCAGATGTGGCTGGATTGGACTAGGAAGCTTCCTGATGAGAGCGGGGATAACAGCTTTGCAAAGCCGGAGGTATTTACCTGGGAAGGGGAGCAAAGGGTTCTGGGCATCTCCTTGTTTATTTTTTTTCTTCACTCTTTTTCTTGACGTAACACTTATCATCTTGCTGTTTCTTCTTAGGAGATGGAGTCTCTGGCCCTACTCCTAGCACATAGCATCATACAGCAGCTGCAAATCACCTGCTCTAAAGTTGTGTCTGCAATCCAAGGCCTTCCATCAAGCCTTCAGGATAGGTTGAAACACTCTTTTAATACCATAGAGGAGCTTCATGCTGCTTTCTTGGCAGCAAATTCCTTCCAGGACTTGTCCAGCACTGTCTTGGGCCAGAGTCAAGAGAGACTGGCTGTGATCTATGAATACATGGAGGAGCTGCTGGACTACCTGTCAGACAACAAGCCTCTGTCCTGGCTGGTGGGACCATTTTCCCCTAGGGAGGAGGAGGAAGCCTTGCAGGAGAAAGAAGCAAACACAAGTTTCTGACGATCTTGAAGCTCCACAGGTCTGGCTGGCATGACTTGCCTAGCACTTGGTCTTGGCCTTACATAATAAACTTTCTAGCTGAAAATGGGGTTGACACACTTTGGATGACTTTTTATATTCTAGTGAGTAGTCTTTAGCAGCTTCAAAAGGAGGTGGTGGAATTAGCAGTGCCACTATGTGGTGCCCAAGGCTGGAAGTATAGACCTGAAGGTCTTCAATGTTCCCACCTCCCTTGGAAGCTGTTCATGGTATGTCTCCATCAGTGCATCCAGCCTATATCCAAAGCAATAACTGCATCTTTCAGATAGTATGCAATTTAAAGAATTCCTCCTAGAAGCTGCTTGTATAGGTACCCTACTTAAAATAAAACTATTGCATGCAGAAACTCATACTGTATCTCGTATCTTATGATGAGACCCTGCAAGAGTGAGTATTGCTCATCATGATCTACTTTTCCCTCCTTCAAGAGTTCTTGTCCCTTCCAATTAAATTAAAGAAGAAAAGCAGTCCTGTTTTAGTTGCGGACAAGTCTGGGTTCAGAAACTTGCTTCAAAACCTCTAAGCAGTGGCATTCAGCCTTGTAGGCTGTCCTTCCAGGTGGATGACATGACTTATTTATTCTTCAAAGAACCAAGAGATGCCTCTAGATTAGGTGGCTTGTCCTTATGGTGGCTTCAGCTTGCTAGACATTAACTGGAAGTACCACATAGCTGATATAGACAGGTGCAGGAGATTTCTAAAACATCTTGATGACAGTAAATTCTTGGTACATAGATACATACTATGGATAATGACTAGGAATGGTGCTTGTAGATATTTTGCTTTTAAAAAGAGAGAGTCCTGTGGGTGATGTGGTTATTGGAGGCTGTCTTGCCCATAGTGGGCATGAAGTAGTTGAGTTTAAAACCTTTGATCTGCTGCTATGTGGTGAACATATCCCAGCCTGCAGCAGGATAGTGGGTTGCAGTGACTTCTCAGATGGACATCAATAGACAAACCATCCGTGGCTTCTCAGACATGGATATCCAGGTGGCCAGTCCTCCATAGGAGTAGCTGTCAGAACCTTACTGGTGCTGGTCCTGTCAGTTCTGACCTGTCCTGGCCAAGAGATGCTTCAGTTGAGCTAGGAGCTCTTTGCACACCATACATGACTCTTCTTAAGAGCAAGAACAACAGCCTGCTTTCAGACTTGCTGGACAGTAATGTCATTGAAGTTGATCTTCCAAAAGCTTCTGGAACAGGAAGCCCTGCTTCTTACTACTTGTACTCAAGTCTGTGTTCCTTAAATAGCAGATGGTTCATGTTGAAAGCAGAAGGGTAAGCCCATCTAAACTGACAGGCCAAGCTATTGCTGTGATCAGAGATGAACTGCAGGTATCATCTCTCCAATGCATGTTCCTTGATTACTGCTGTCTGGTTTATCTCTAGTGAGGAGCTCTAGGAAAGGCATGCTCAGTTTGTGTAATGTAATTACAGCTACACTTATAGGGAGGGAAGTGGGGTGCTGTTTACAGTTAGTACCAAGAGCTAGCCCTGATGCTTGGTAGGAAGTGTGTTTGTTGTATGTTGTCTCCTTCAGTGTCAAAGCTGTGTCCAACTACCTAGTTGCTAAATTTACCTGGAGGAAATGATTTTTGTACTCCACATTAATTTATTAGTGCAGCAGATCAGATCTATATTAATTTAGTGCTTGCCCTAGCAAATCATGCATGTTCTGCTTATGGATTGCTGGGGCATAGCCTTGCTTGTTGCTTAAATCCACTTCCTGCAGTCGCTGTTGGAAGCTCTTGCCTTGGGAACCTGGTGTGCAGTGGGAGGAGGGAAATCACTCAGAGGTTCTCCTGAAAAGTTGCTTCCAAGTGTTTTGGTTCATAAGGGGAAGCTCTGGGCCACAAGGCTGCTCAGGGCTATGAATGTCAGGATGTCTGCTCTGTGCAAGTGGAGCAACTCCTTCCCTCCAGCAGGTTCCAAAAAATGTCTCCGGGCATGTCTTAAATACACCAACTGTTCAAAATTCAAGGGCTAGAAAGAAAACCAACTCGTGACTTATTTTGGAGTCCTATAGTTCTACTTTCTATTAGCTAGGGGTTTCTCTGAATGGTGAGAATTCCTCTGACTGTGTTTTGAGGGCATGTGACTGCTGGGTAGCACAGAAATGAATGGATTTCCTGCAAATGGTTGAAGTGTAAATTCTCCTGAGTTCTGAGAGAGTAACCAGAGCATTCTCAATTTTGTCCAGACCAGTTTGCTTACTTTTTTTTCACTTTGGGTAGAAGTAAGAAATGTTACTAATGATCCGACAAGCCTAGACAAACACCTTGGCAGGGAAGACATGCCTTGAGATGTCTGTTCTGGCTCTCAGTAGCTCTTGGACTCTATGTGGTATTCCTTGGTTCAGATAATTATAGCCCAAGTGATTGTCTTATCCTCCCCTACTGCTGTTCATGCCTGCTTAGGCTGTGGCCACATGTGACAGCTCAGTTGCAGGCTGATTTGAATTTTAAATGCAATCACAGGGGCACCTGCTCCTTGTTCCCCTTTTGCTCGATGCCACCTCATTTCCCTCTGCGAGCTTGCTTAGCATATTAATTATTTAATTCTCCACTCACATTCGTGTACTCGTGCCTCTTCTTATTCAGTCCCTGCTGTTCATTGTTCGATGCCTGACTTCCAGGTCAGCGAATGTGCTGGTGCTTGGTGAAGGCTACCTTGGGCATCCCTCCAAAGAACTGTCATCTTCCCCAGGTTGAGTTAGGAGGCATTAGCCAACATGCTGCTGTGACCTCTACCTGGCAAGGGAAACTGCTGATGGAGGGTTTCCCAAGCAGTTTCGTTGGGAAGGCAATAGATTGGGAAACCAGAAATCTTAGCAAGTGCTGAAAGGCAAAAGCTCTCTAGTTGCTTGCAAGAAGCCTAATTCCACTTTACATTTCCATATTTCTGTACATATTAGTACACTGACAGCCTTTACACAATATCTCCACTTACTGCCTGCTGTAAAACAGTATACATATACATTTTTTTTAAAGTTTGTGACAGCCCTGAAAGGCTGCTCGTGTAGCTGGAGTCCTCAGAGGTGAGTGCTCTGAATTTCCATTTTTGTGACCTTAAGCTTCTATGTGGAGAAATGTAAGATCCCCAAAGCTTACTGGAATTAATCTACAGTGCAAACTGGATGAATCTTTTGCTGTCAGTGCTAGAAGATGATGGTGCTGTGCCTGGCCACTATTGGAGCAAATGCTGCTCCATGATGTGGGCAGGGACTGTATTTTGTAGCTTGGTTCCTTGCTCTGTGCTTTCCAGCCATAGCCCACTTGTCCTTCCTCTCTCCTATTATATCTCCTTTGCTAGCTGGGGAGAGGGAGCAGGAAACCTGGAGGGAGTTCCCTGTGCTCTGAGTTGGGTGCTGCCCTGCTCAAGGTGGGTACAGGAGAGGAGGCTGAAGGACAGGGCTGCTCTTAGCATCACTTTGCAGAGCTCCCGCGTGCAGCATGTGGGTGCTTTTCTGCCTGAAATCTTTGCAGAAGCCAGCACTCAGCTCTTCCTCCATCCCTCCCCAGGCTCCTGCCCGGGGCCTCTTCTGGCAGCTCCTGGTGAGGCTTAGAGCTGGACAGCTATGCTGCCCTCCACCCCCTGTGGATGGCAGGGAAGGGAGTCAATAAATCCGCTTCAAATTGCCTTACAAACCAAGCATGAACTTGTGACAATTCCAATACTGCCTTCCTGTGCCTTGTTAAAGCCCCTGGTGCCTCCAAGAGTGACAGGAGCTGACCTGATCGATAACTCGGCTGCCCTTCACTGCTGCAAAGCAGCTTCTGTGAATACAGAGCACCACCAGCACATAATTGCCTGCACTGTGGTGCTTTCTGGACACCGATGCCTGCCCCTATGGTAATGAAAATCCATTTGCAGAAGGAGTTGGTTTGCAGTATTGACTTCCCCATCTCCCTCTGATTCTCATATTTATTTAGATTCAATGTGAGATGCTCCAGCAGTGGATCTGGGAGGTGATCTGGAGGGTAATTAATGAGGTGAGTGCTGACACGGTCTGATTTCAAGCCATTCTGATGGCTGATCCTCACTTTTTGTCCATTTGCATTAAGCTCACTTTGTAAACTCTGATGGAGCTTGCTGTGGGTGGTTGTACTCCTGCTCAGCTCTTCCCATGGGCATCTCTGCAAGCTGTCTCCACCTCTCTTCATTGTGGATTGCTTCAAATATTTGTACCCAGTTCTTTGGCACCCAGGTGCAGATTCCTCCTTTGATACTCCAAAGCAGCATCTCCTTGATGAGCTGAGTTGGAGCAGAAATTGGAGAAGTTGGCAAATTGGCAGCTTGAGATGATCCACCAGGCTGCTTGTGTTCCCTGCAGTGCTGGTGGGCAGGAGATGGGGTGGTGCTGCTCAGCTCTCCCAGCCCCTGTGCCCCCTCCTGCTGCCTCGGGGGCAGGGGGGAAGTTGGCATGGGATGTGTAAGAGGGGGCAAGGAACTGTGGAAAGGGGATTGAGATTCAGGCAGGGGAGAGCTGGATGGGAAAACATGAGGGATGTGAGGAGCAGGGGAGAGGCTGTATTAAGAAGGGTGGATTAGGATTAATAATGAGAATTCAGCGCATGTGGGGAAGGAGGGATAGATGGAGCATCCTTAATCTTCAGAGCAGAAAAGCAGGAGTGCTTCGTGGGGAGAGGGGTTCAGCTCAGGCATTGGTTGGCAAGGCAGATTGTGCTGAGAACTGGGGAGGAACTGGGCAGCAGAAGGGGTGGCTGGGGATGGATATAGGTGCAGGATGGGCTGCACGAGCCTGGGAACTGAGCATGGGGAAGGGGCTGTGGTGTGCTCGGGAGGGACAGACCTGTGGCAGGGAAATCCAGAGGTTCATCCCCACACGTGCTGTGCTTGCTGAAGCACTGCTCCAGCCCCAGAGCACATCTGGGGCTTTGCCTTTGCTGCACCCTTCCCATGGGATGGTTACTGCAGCTGCAAGCTGAAGGTCACCATAAATGTCATGTCTACCCAGCTGCCTTCACAGGGTAATTACAGCTGCAGATACAAGGTTTACCAACCAAATTACAAACCAAGTGGGTGTTTACCCTATAAGAAGCTGATTAGAAACACCTGCCATTCTGTAGAGCAGAGAAAAGAGATTATGAGGTGCTTTTGGTCCCATCACCCAAGAATCACAGTGGTGTAGGCAGCTCAGGTGCATCTCTACATCCAAAGCTTGAAAGCTGTGGAATGGAGCAAAGCAGAGGTGAGGAGAGCCCCTTCAAACAGCACACAGCACTTATGGACCCACTGGTTCTGCAGGGCCCAGCTCAGTTCTCCAGTCTCCCTGCTGTCCAGCATTGCTTGACTCAAATGAGAGACTGCACCAAATGAAGGAGTAAAGAATGAAGGCCTTGCAAAGGTGCTTTAATTCCCTCAGGTTTGAACTGGCTGTCTTTTTTTTTTTTTCCCCCTAAGAATCCCATTCACTGATGCATATACGTGAAAAATATCAGAGCAGAGAAAACACATTCCAAGATCTGGTTTTGTGTGGGTTTTTATTATTTGGTTGACTGATTGCAAAACCATCCTGCCTTGTCCCTGCCCACGGAGTGTTGCTGCTGGGACAAACCCTCAGTGCTGGTTGTTTATCCTGCTGTGAAATGAGCTGGGGAATCCAGCACAGAGCCAGGTGCAGCACAGCCCTCACTTGTGGAGCCTGTGAGCAGTGGTGTTGCTTCCAGCTGAGCTTTTTGATGCTTATTGCTGCTGGTGGATGGGGGGCACAGTGTAAAACCACCATGCTGGGTTTTTGTGCCCATCATTGGCTTTGCTTTTGCACACTGCTTGCTGTTATCATTGTGGCTGGGATGCTGTGCTTGGCCAGCCTGTGCTTCAGGAGGAAGCCTGTGGTATTGAGCACTGAGCATGTGTGGATGGCCTGTAGCACAAAAGCATCACAGTCGACATAATTGTTATCTTTTCTGTA